GTACAAATTGATTTCTATTGATCAAATAACTACTTAACCAGTCATGGGCGATTCACGTATCCCATAATCCATCAGCTTGGAGAGTAAAATACTATGATCTATTGTGTCAAATGCCTTTTTTAAATCAATAAACAACCCCACTGTATATTGTTTTTTTTCTATTGCTGATGAAAGTTCTTCATTTAATTCCATAAAGCCAGGGATGTAGATTTATGTGATCGAAACCCATACTGACTCTCACTCAGGAGGTTTTCCTTCTCAATAAAGTTATCTAGTTTCTGAACAAACCATTTCTCAAGCACTTTAGAAAACTGAGAAAGCACTGAGATTGGTCTATAATTATCAAACTTATGTCTATCACCATTTTTAAAAATTGGAATTACTTTTGCAGTTTTCATTTTTTCTGGAAATGTACCACTCTGAACAGACAAATTACAGATATAAGTGAATGGTTTGACAACATAATCAATAGTTTTCTTTACAATCATCATGTCAATCCCGTCACAGTCTGTGGATGTTTTATTTTTACTTTTCCTAACTATCGTCAAAACTTCATTTTCACTTACATCCCCTAAAAACATAGACTGTAAAATTTTGCTCCCTCTTTGTATTTTTCAGCTTCATTAGTTTGTGTTTCCAGAGATTTGGCCAAACTTGGTCCTATGTTTACAAAAAATGAATTAAGTTCATTTACCACCTCAGCTTTATCCCTCAAGATCTTATCTCCGTTAGTAAAGAAATCTGGATAACGGGCATGCTGAGACCTGGATCTTATGACACTATTCAGAATTCTCCATGTTCTTTTCATGTCACCTATGCTTTCCTTCAGCCTTAAATTATAATGATCTTTTTTTGCTTGTCTTATTAATGATGTCAATTTATTTTTGTATATTTTGTACTTCATTTCTGTGGCTTTGGTTCGGTATCTGACAAAATCTCTGTATAATTTGTTTTTCCCTTTTACAAGATTTTAGTAGTCCCTTAGTTAACCACGGTTCTACATTCATATTTATCTTTTTTCTACAGACAACTACAGGGCAGTTCTTATTAAATAAAGATTTATATGTTTTTAAGAACGTATCATATGCCACGTTCACATCCTTCACATAAACCCCACTCCAGTTCTCCTTCAACAAGTCATTACAAAATGCTGTTATAGCATCCTCTGTCCTTATTCTAACATGTTTTATCTGATCTAACTCCTTAGGTTTTTGAATGCATTTTTATGTATTATAAAAATTGGTAGATGATCACTTATATCACTAATTAGGAGACCACTGTTAGCTGTCTTCTCAATTTCATTTGTATAAATATTGTCTATTAATGTAGCACAGGTACTGGTGATTCTAGTAGGCTGAGTGATCACAGGATATAAACTCCTGCTGGACATCACATCCATAAAGTCTCTAGTCATTTGTTTCTCTGGTTAAGTAAATCAATATTGAAATCTCCACATATTAACCAGGATTTGTTGTCATTTAATCCATCTATGAGAGTTTCGCATATTTCTTTAAAACATTGTAAATTGGAGCCAGGGTGTTCTATATATACAGGCTACTATAATGTTTCTAGTTTTTTCCATTTCTATTTCAACAGCTACACATTCCATCATATCTTCCACAGCTACTGCCATGGAGTCAGTATTTTACACTTCAAGGCACTTTTGACGTACAGTGCAACCCCTCCACCTTTTTCTTTCCTCTGTTTGTATAAAACAAATGGTACCCTACCATATCAAAATCTGTACCCTTTTCTTCATTTAACCATGTTTCAGATAAAGCAATCACTTCAAATTGGTGCTTAAATGTTTTCATATATGCATTAATTTGGTCAAAACTAACGTAAAGACTTCTACAATTAATGTGGATAAGTGAGAAATGACCTAAATCTACAGAACTATTAAACTGATCATTTGTGTAATATTTACAGTTATCATTGATTGTATTTAACAGATTACCATCTGGATCAATATTGTTTTCATAGTCAAGTGTGTTATATTCAGTAACTTCAAATCTTTTCAGAGTTTTCACAGCAGAATTTGCCATCAACTATTTTTCACAAAAGTACCTCAACTCTTGTGACTTTTCAGAAGAGTGTTGACTCCTTTAATCAATTCATGACCAGGGCTTGTTCTCCGTTGAGCATGAACTGACTCCCATCCTGCGCTCCTCAGCGTTGATTCCAGATCGGGAACCTCTTCTGGAATATTCATGTTTACTCCAAACTCACGTAGTCCAATAGCAGCAGCATGGGGGTCACTATACACCTTCACTTTTCCATCTCCACAAAAGAGTTTCAGTCTCGCTGGAAACAAGATCCGTGACTTCACTTTTCTTTCATTGAGTATTTTCCGCACCTCCTTGTATTTAGCCCGCTCCTTGAACACAGCGCTTGTAAAATCCTCATCGAAATAAATCCTTTGGTCTGTCACTTGAACATTCCTTTTTCTCCAAGCAGCCTCCAATACTTTCTGTTTCATGGCGTATGACTGGAGTCGAACCAAGATTGCTCTGGGGCGCTCCCTTTGTCCCATCTTTGGCCCAACACGATGTGCTCTCTCAATATTCAAATCATCAATCTCATCCAGTTTTTCACGGGCCAGTTTGTTCACAAACTCAATGATGTTATTTTCTTCACAACCCTCAGGTACAGAGTAGATTCTCATATTTTTTTTGCGAGCTTGGCTCTCAAGTGCCTCACATTTCATTTCTAGTTGTTTTTGCATCTGAACCACTTGTATTAACACATTGGAGGTTTTCATTGCATAGTCTTCACTCTCAACAATTCTCTGTTCAGCTTCCTCCATTCTTTTTTTGATGCTCGTGAACTCTGCTCGTAGCTCATTCAATTCTGTTTTTAATGCTCCAAAGCTGGCTGATGTTTCAGTTCGAAATTCTCTCAGTTCTTTGAGTATTTCAGCCATACCTGAAGATTTAGTTGGTGTCATGTCCTCAGCTGATTCCAGTTGATTGTTCTCCATTTGTTTGTGAGCACCTTCTTCCATTTGTTTGGTGGATTGCTTTTGCCTTGGTTTTGGCATATTCCACAGCTCCAGTCATAAATTAATCAACTTGCAGTAAAAGGTCTTGGTTTCAGAGGATTTCCACACAAATTTTCATCATTCCAAGCACTTTTAAATAGAATCTTCTTAAATTGTTTGGAGAGCCTCTCACAGGCACACCTGTCCAGCGGCCATCTTGTCTCCAATTAAAACTAACCAGTAGTGCTCTGTAACATTGTCCCATTGGACCAGCAAAATGTCCTCAGTTTAGGTAAAAACTTGTTTTGGTTCCCACTTTGATGTTTACACCAGTACTTTCTCTCTCTCTCTCTCTCTCTCTCTCTCTCTCTCTCTCTCTCTCTCTCTCTCTCTCTCTCTCTCACACACACACACACACTCTCACTCTCTCTCTCTCTCTCTCTCACACACACACACACACACACACACACACACACACACACACACACACACACACACACACACACACACGTCTCCTCTTCCTCACCCTGCATCTCTTCTTGCTCCTAGATCTTCATAAAGAAAGCAGAGTGAAGCTCTGCCCTCCCCCCTCCCTCGGTGATTCCTGAGCCCAGCTGAGAGCAGGCTGGTCAGCTGCCTCCAGTCCAGAACCTCTGAGCGGTTCGCCAGCGCCGCCGTGTGGCCGGGCCTCGCCGCTGCAGGGCTGAGCAGCTCAGACTGAAGCCAGTGAGAGAGAAACTTCTGGGCCTGAACTGACGAAGCAGTAATTAGAACCTGTACATACGGAGTGAAAACACTGGAAGCTGCTTCTGAAGATCAACCTGCTTCTCCCTGTCTGCAGAAGGACCTCCTGCCCCCCCTCCCCACCCCCTGTGTCTGGACAGATGAACTCGGTGTCCCGTCCTTCCCTCCAGTGTGTCTTGGTGCTTCAGGTTCATGCTCTCCCTCATAAGTTAACAAGTTGCCTTAACGATTTCAGAACAAATATGTGTCACATGTAGCATCCACCGGTACCCAGAATCCTTTGCTGCAGCCTCGATTCCACTGACATTGTTGTAGCTTGAAACTACTGATGAAGACAGCTGGTTCTTCTTCTCTGGGGAATTTAGTGAATCAATTTGAAGGAAACTGAGGCCTTGATGACTCCTGTGAGTCCACAGGACTCCCTGGACTTCAGTCTGAGTCCAAACCCACAGGACCCTCTGATGCTGTTCTGCCCAGTGCTAAAACCCTCATTCTCTTTGAGTCCATTCTGTGTTTTCTACAGAGACAGTTGTCCATCAGGACCTTGTCTTCCAGTCAGAGATTTGCTTGGCCTCCCGTCTCAGAGGACAGAAAGTTTCTGATAAACTGTTCCTTCTATGATCAGACATAGGTGCCTTCAGATGTGATGCATCAAACTGTTTATATTTAGTCTTGCTGACTGGTTGATAAAAGGAAGTTAACTTTCTAAACCGGGTTACTTAAACCAGCACAGACCCGAGGCGGGTTAGTGAGTAGAAATCCTGAATATGGAAAAAACATAAAATACATTTTCAATTCAACATAGAATTATTTAACTTCTGGTCCACCGCTCACAGCTTTGGGATACTGAGAAATAATTGATCAAATAAGTTTTTTTATTCAAATCTCAACAGTTTTTGTGTTAATGATATGAACAAAAAAAATCACACATCAGAGCCGCTTTTACACCAAAGAACGTTGCTTTCATCCTAAAACCGCTTAAATTACCCAACAGTTCATGATGTTTTAATAAACCTTTAAACCACAGACGGCTTGACCTTTTACAGTTATTTACATTGAATTATGTGGTTATTTACAAACATAAATACTGTAAAATCCAGCAGCAGCAGCAGCTAAATATCAGTCCTCCTCCTCCAGCAGAATGTTCATGCCTGATAAACATCTGTAAAGTGAAAGTTGAAGCACCGCCCTGGCTGGTTCCAGTACAGGTTTTACGCTCCACCACTGAACAACTGGGATCCATCACTTAGAAAATGAACATATGCCTCATTATATTTCCAGGTGTTGACAGATGTTGATGCGTGTTGTTCTTACCTTGCTGCTCTCAGTTATGTAGTTAGTTGGTTAGTTATGTAAGGATGTGATTGTGTGTACTTGAGTAGGTGGGACTTCCAGCTCCGCGCCTCAAACGCTCAGCCTCCAAAAACACAACAGTGACTGAAAATGGGATCTCATGCTTCACTACTTAAAATTTTCATTCATTTATACAGTTTGTGAAAAAATGAAGTCATTTGAAACTAACAAAGGAGTCAATGCAGCACGTCTTAGTTTTAACCCCACTTCAACACACCTGATTTCAATCAGCAGGTGATTAACAGGCTTCTGCAGAGCCTGATGAGCTGCTACACAGGTGATTCTACCACTGAATCTAGTGTGTTGGAGCAGAGAAACCACTAAAACATGCATGATACCAGCAGCTGGTGTCCAGCTACAGCATTTATCAGACGATAGGCAGAGGACACCCTGGACAGGTCTCTAGTCCACCATAGGGACACATATAGGCAAATAACCAGTCAGTCACACACTCACACACACCTAGAGATGATCTGGAGTCTTTAATCAACCTGATGGTCATGCTTTTGGTCTGTGGGCAGAAACCGGAGTACCTGGAGAAAACCCTACATACACACACCCAGAGAACATGCTAACTACACCTAGATAGGTCACATCTGGGATCTACTTTCTACAAGGCGACAGTGCACCACCATGAAGCCCCAGCAGGAAGTGGTTTTCCAAAGTAAAACAATAATTCTACATAAACAGGGATTGTGTGAAATGTTGCTCCACTCCTTTTGTAAACATCTGTTCGGTTTCTTCCCGACAGATGTTTCTGTTCAATTTTACATGGGAACCACGAAGAGCTGTTCATTTAAAATATAGTTTAGAGAAATAAACAGTCATAAATAAAAAAAAAAAGGTTCGCTGCTTAGAAATGTTCTTGTTTTATGTAAATATTTCCATAACGGACCAATACACTCTTGGTTTTTCCATTTTTCTGCATATTTTTATGACCCGTCGGTTGTTTCACTCAGAAACCAATAATCCAGTAGAGTGTTTGAGTTCAGTGACAAGAGAAGAAAAGGGTGATAAAATATAATTTCATCTCTCGGTAATCAATGTGATCGTTTGATGAATCCGTTTGGACAAAGGAACGATTTATCTGGACTTTTCCTCTGAGACGTTTCTCAGCATTTCTATTTGATCTCCTCCAGGCTGACTGAGCTGAGCGTCGGGATACACACACAACAGAAACTTGAGCTTTATTTGATTTCCTTTGGAAGATGCACTGGAAAACAGTACTATCACCTTGTGTCTGTCTTTTGTACCCTTTAGATAAACTATTTAAACTTCTATTCAATCTATGGATTGTAATAAAGACAGAAATTTAAACTTTGTGTTTTGCTGCTTTCTTTAAATAACATTTTTGTTGGTTGGATGGAATTAATCAAAAATCACTAATAAGTCACCTGCTGCAAAAACAGCCCATGTGATTGATCGAGGAAGTTTTAATTCTGGATAAACAGAACAGTTTCAGGAGAAGGTAGTCATTGTTAGACAAGTTCATGAGAACTTCTGGATTTTCATGCTGATAATTCTCCTTTAAATCCTTTTTGTTCTAAGCAGCACTCTTAGTAAAAAGCTACACTTTGTACTAAAATCTGCAGAATGCTTTGATGAAATGTGGCCAGTTTAATAAACTAAAGGTGCGTAATAATTTGTTTTGTAACCTTAAGATCCAAACAGACTAATAAATCAAAGATCAGAGGAGAGTGATGGTCTAACCAGTGGGTCATGTTTTGAAATCAAATGTTAACATTTTTTAAATTTTGTTGTGTTTGTGAGGAATCACATGATTGTACCTCCGAGAAAATTGTCCAGTGATGGTTAAAATATAAAGTTTGGTTAGAAAAAGTAAAAAAAAATTAATACTAATTTTTTTCTAAAAGCATTTTCCACCACACATGTGTAACTTAGTGTAATAATGAAATGAACAGAAGGATCACAGTTCCACTGCTGATAGCATTTGATCTAGGCCACTTGGGACCTTTTGGGGAGCAGAAGCAGATTTAATCTGTTCAGCTAAAAGTTTAAACCGAGCGTTCCACCCCATCAGAGGGACTGAAAGGAATTAAACAGCTTTTTGTTTTTGATGGTGATCAGTCGGTCACGAGAAGAACACATGATCTGCTCTGAATGAACATCCAGACATAAAACAGAAAATAACATTCATCATTAAAAAAATGATTTTTCTGTTTAAAAGAAATTGATCTGAGATTTAAGTTTTTATTTTAGCATTTATATAATTTCAATTCTAAACTTTGCAGTGGAAATACGGCGTGTGAGGGCTCCAGTTACACACTATGAATTTACATATAATTTTATTTATATTTTATCTGATTAAATATAAGAAAAAATGTGATATAAATACTGGACAACAAAGTCTTCATAATGTCTATAAATTGAATGAAGTCTATAAATAAACTATTCAGTATAAATAAAACTTGGTTTGAAACAATAAAGTTAAAAAAACTGAAAATATGAAATCTGAAAATATCTGGTTTCAATCTCAGACGACTTCATGTGCTAAATCTCACTACAGCCAATCAGCGTGCAGATTCTGGGACAGCTCGGCCAATCATCGCTGTCCACGAGGTGCATCTCCAAGTGGGCGGGCCCACATGGTCTTACCGAAACCAATCAAAAACTGACAGTTGACAGGAAACGCAATAAGGACACAGCGTCTGACCAATCGCTGTTAAAAAAAGGCAGTCTTTAACTTTCAACGACCCACGTGACCCTCCTCAGTGGTTCCCAGGCGGTCACATCGAAGAGCTCCAGGTGAGAATAATTGCGATTTATATCACTTTTTGCATGAAAAGGCGATAAATATAAATGTTTTAAGGAGACTCGGAATGTTTCTCATGTATTCATGTTTGAGGTTTACGTGACGGAGGCATGTAGTCCGTGAAAATGAGAGCATGAAGCGTCTCAGGCTGCTGTCAGAACCCCACCGAGCGGAGCGGCTAACTGAGGCTAATTAACCGCAGGTGATCTCAGCCAGCATGCTAACCTGCTTCAGGACTTTTATATATCCTCAAAATACAACCGACTCACGACTTCTACCACCTTTTACCTGGTGATAATTCATAAATTTAAAGGTTTTCAATCAGAAGTAACTGGATGCTACAATTGGTTAGCAGCACCGTCACGCGGCTAAGCTAAGGGTTAAGGTCGACTGTGGGTTAGGTTTAGTGGTTTTCTGCTTGGAAAAGCTCTTTCTCTGTATAAGAAGTAAAATCTGAAATGTAAATAAGTATACAGATGATAGTCTAGATCATGTGTTTAAATGGAGGCTTCAGGAATACAAATTAGCATCAAGACGGGAGAACTAATAATTTCAGGCTTTATTTAATTTAATCTGAGCCTTTACAGATGCAAGAGAAAATACACTGAAAAATGAAGAACATCAACAACATAAGTTATAATAATAATAATAATAATAATAATAATAATAATAATAATAATACAAATCATGTTTTGTGAAACTCCTTTTAAGGCACTAAATGTTGTATTTAACCCGAGTTTCTCTATTTCCTTGTTAATGTTTAAGGTGGCCATTCATATTTTTTTGAACGCCAACAATTCAAGGTTTGGCTTTAAAATGTCTTATGAACACATTCATTTGCAGCATTTCCTTATTTTAAGACTGATTTTCCATACGATACGGCACAGGCTTGTCTTTAATCATTTGTGTGGTTTAAAATGAGTTCAGGGGATTTTTGAGTCTTCTGCCCTGCAATCACAGTGGCAAATTAAAATGGGCATAAATTTTGCTTTCAGGTATGGTAAGTAGCTGTTATTAATTTGCAATCATAAAACAGCCAAAGCTTTGAATTGTAGTGACTCAGTGTTTATAACTGCAAATAAATGACCCTATGTGACATATTTATGCAACAACTTTAATGCTAATAAATCGAAACCTCATGTTAATCATAGTTTTATATATATCAACTGGATAAATGAAATCTATTACTGACTTTGGCTTAAAGTCTCATTCTCTGGGTTATTTGTTGTAATAATGAGATTTGTTGATAGTGGAGTGAGTAGTAATCCAATGTTGATGAATAACACAAAACGCTAAGTGTTCTTGTCACATTATGTGTTTCATAGTGCGAGGCATCATCAGACTTTGGCGTCTAACCAAGATGGCGCTGCGGATGGATGCCCTAGTACTTTGGTGTGCTTTTGCTTTTTTGTGTAAATTGCGTGTCTGGACAGTCTTCTGGTTCTCTTACTCCAGAGAAGAACTCATAAGTTACAACGCTACGTGCCATTTTATATTATTTCATCATGAGTATATTCTTATTTCCTATTAGGGCTGGGCAATAAATCGTAAATTTATCATTATTGATTTTCTGACTCATCGAGAATTTTTCCCATGTCAATAAATTTGATAATAAAAAAAATGAAAAGATGTGTGTAGGTTGGCAACATTCATGTCCCTTTAAGAAGCTGTACCACCTGGAGTCATGTAAAAATGTAACTCAACGTAATACATGTGTCAGCCCCATTTAGTGGACAACTTTTGTTTCTGCGCATACCTGTAGTTATCGTCCATTTATCATTTTCGAGGTGAAATACTCAGTATATCGTGATCTTCATTTTAGGTCATATCGCCCAGCCCTACAACCTAAATTTGCTCATCTCTGCCTAGCTGTTGTTTTCAGAGACCATCTTCCATGTAGCTCTACAACCTCTGGTCACTTTGCTTCCTTTGAACTGCAGCTGATTAAAAACGGGCGTAACTGTGCTGTGGACTATCGGCCACCTGGTCCAAACGTTCTTTCCTTCAGGAGTTTAGTGACTTTCTATCCTCCACTGTGAAGCTGTCCAGACTGGTGATTGTTGGTGACTTTAACATCCACGCTGATGATCCCTCTGATCACTTTGCCATGAACTTCTCCAGCCTCATGGACTCCTCCAGCTTTACCCAGCATGTTTCTGGCCCTACACACACCAGGGAGCACACTCTAGACCTTGTTTTTACCCTGAGTCTAAATTCGTCCTGAGGACATTTATATTTCTGATCACCATTGCATTTTCTTTAACTTGTCAGTTTCTGCGTCCCCACCTCATGCTCGCCTTATGGTTAGTTCTCGTTTTCTTAATGAGAGCACAGCTAGCAATTTTTCTGCTGCTTTTGATCCACCCTGTTTTTCTGATAACGACCCAGATTCCTTAACTTCTCAGTTTGACGAGCACTGCCTCTCCATTCTGGACAACATCTGTCCTGTCAGAACCAGATCAGTTCCTGCAGTGAACCCTACTTCCTGGTTTAATGACAGCCTTCACAGCCTGAAGCGCCAATGCAAAAAAATTGAGCGCTTGTGGAAGAAAACCCATCTCCACGTCCATCTGCTGCACCTAAAGGATCTTCTGACATCCTTTAACTATGCAGTCAGAGACACTAGGGTTTCTTATTTTTTAGGGCTGGGGGTAAACAATTATTTTTAAAACTATTATTCTGATGATTATTTTATCGAATAGTCGACTATTCTAATGACTTTTTTAGACGATTAATCTAGTGATTATTTTTTATTGCACAATTAATAAAAACAAGAAAATCTAAAATAAATTCCTCCAAAAAATTGATAAATTGTTACTGTAAGAGAATAAACACTACAGACCTTCCATTTTGTATAACACTGCTTTTATTGTGTTGCAGTTGGTTATGTTCTGGTGACATGTAGAACTTGGGAGTGCAGGCTGCTGCCTGAGAGGTGGTTGGAGACGGAGTGTCTCCATGCTGCTTTGTTTTGGTCACTTACCGTAAATCCTCTAATACAGGCCCGGGCCTGTATTTGACTCAAGCTCATCACGCTCCAGGCCTTTATTGGAAGGAGGGCCAGAATTAGAGGCAGGCCTCAATTTCTATTTGAGCAAAATGAACTAATGGTTCGCTGGAGTTTTTGACAGTTAAAATTGCGCCCACATTTTCAAAGTTAAACACGTTTCTTTTAACAGCGGTAGTTTCTGCTTCAGCCCTCTCCCCCCTCCCCCTGCGCAGCGGCCGCAAACTCACTGATGCACCTGCAGCCTAGAGTTCCTGCTACTCTAAACATTAAAATAATTATTTCATTTTCTGTTCCTCACTTCTGATTACCTTCAATGGTGTCTGTTTGTTGCAACCACCAGGTACAAAAACAAACTTGTTTTTATTTGACTATTTTTCTGTCCTGCCTGTTTATCTTCCTGCATCTCCTCTCAATCCTAAAGAGAAACTGCTATCTGGGTTCATATATATTCACCTTATGAGTTACCTTTGAACTGCAGTTCTCAAAGATCTACCGACCGCAAAAACAGCAGAGTGCTCGCTGCTTGCCGGCCACATCAGTTAGGTGCGTCACCGGAGGACAAAGCAGGTGATGCCCCCGATCCACAGCAGCGAAACGCATCAGGCACAAATAAAAGACAGAAAACATAAAAGGAAATGATCCAACATGAACGATCGCGTGTTAAATTAGTTTTTGAGATGGCGACACTGGATTTGATAACGTTACTGTGGCCGTGCTCAGGACGCCGATGTCTGGAGCGCGTCAACGGTTAAGGTTAGGATGGGGGTGAGGGGAATGTTAAATTGCAAGAGGGTAAACGTCACAATTTGGTTAAATGTCCGTTTTACGGCGGGTGTCAGTACCGACGCTCTGGCACAGCGCGCTGCCTCCCGACGTGCAGGAACCTGTCACCTGTTGACAGCAGGCAGCTGTCTTTTCCGTGGACTGCATCTTGCCGGTCATTATCTCGTGACAGCGACTAGTCGATGACAGGCATAAAAAGTCACTATAGAGAAGTCGACTAGTTCATACAACCCCTATTGCTCCCCAGTGTTCTGTAGCGCACGTTCTCTTTGAACTTGATATGAAATTTTCGCCTCCTCTTTGTCTCCGCACGGTTAAAGTTACCCTCGCAGTCTATCACTGGCAAATCAAAAGTGAGACGGATGACACAACCGCCCCCCGTACTTGCTTGTTACCACATTCCACCCGGCCACGATAAGAAACCGGCCATTATTCACCTCTGCCAACTCCCGACACCGGCCAAAATATGATACCCGGCAGTTAATTAAATACAGGCTAATATTAGAAGATTTACGGTATGTGCGTGAGGCGAGTGGTGTTACAACCCTTCCTGGGGAGTTTGGCTCGTGTGCAAAAAGGAAGGGTATTTGGCGGAGATGTTGGTGAAGGGGAAGAAGAGGGCGAACTAGAGGATAAACAGATTCCTCCTCTATTTACAAACTCCTGGGGATGCAACAAGTGGGCGTAGTGCGTCGACTATCAGATCTGACGTCGACGAATTTTTAGAATCGAGCCGTCGATGCCACCGACGCTTCGCTACAACTCTATTTTTCCAACCTGGTGTCCCAGAGCAAAGGGAACCCCAAGGTGCTGTTTAACACCATCAGCAGTATCGTCTCTCCTGCCTCTCCTACAGCCTCCATCCACTCTGTAACAGACTGTGAGAACTTTGTCTTTCTTTGTCCACAAAGTCAATAAAGTTAGATCTAGCATCTCTCCTTCAGCCTTATCGCTGCCTCTCCCAACTCCAACCAGGCCCATCATCCTAGATAGCTTAGCTCCGGTTTCTTTGCCCGAGTTAACCAAACTAGTTAACTCTATGAAGCCCTCTGCATGTCCCCTCCACATCTTACCCTCATCTTTGTTTAAAAGTGCTTTTTAGTCCATCGGTCCCAGCTTGCTCTCTATAATTAATGCTTCTCTGGTTTCTGGTCAGGTCCCTGCTTACTTTAAGAATGCTGTAATCCACCCACTTCTTAA